CCAACAGTGTAAGAGGGTTCCCTTTTCTCCACACCCTCTCCAGCATTTATTGCTTGTAGACTTTTGGATAGCAGCCATCCTGACTGGCGTGTAATGGTACCTCATTGTGGTTTTGATTTGCATTTCTCTGATAATGAGTGATGTTGAGCATCTTTTCATTGGCATCTGTTTTAATGCAGAGCTACAGACCCCTGGGAGCCCCAGGGGATTACATAAAGCGGATAACTTCACCCCTCACCTACAGACTTCCTGTCTCCGAGTCTAGAGCTTTTATAAAGAACAAATGCACCCCTACCATCCATCAAGCTTTGTGCAGGCCTCGGCTCTTTACATATCGTGACTCACTTGCTCCTAACAGAGGGTCTATGCTGCTCGCCTCTGTGCCAGTAGGGGTAACAGCCTCCACCAGCCTCAGTAGGTGTCTTGCTGCATTCAGCGAGCTGTATTTCCAAACAGGAAAGAGTCTTTTGAGCACAAGAGAGGGAGAGAGAATTTCTATTAGTGGCATTCCTGCTGACTATACATTAATTACTTATTAAATTGTGAGCGGCAAGTTCAACCACTCTGTTCATCTCCTAAGATCCAAATTAAGAGTCACAAAGATGGGTTTACAGATAAGCCAACACTTGAATAGCGGAAAATGATTTGATGTTCTCTCCTGGGATGCATCCTTTGGAGGTCATCTCGCCTGCAGCAGGCAGCAGGTGTGGGCACGTGCCTGGTCCAGCCCTCTCCACCCAGGACCTCTTCCTCTACTTTGACTGAAGACATTAGTCCTAGGTGTGGAGCTTCTCTAATGGGACCTTTTATGTTAGACTCTTTCTAGTGTTTTTTGGATTCAATTTTGTTGGATTTTGTTCAGCTTGGCTTTGATGCCCATTTATTGAGTCTCCATGAAGCACTGAATGAGGAGTGTCATCTTGCTATTCAAAAAACTCTGCTAATTTCTTTTTTCTATTTTTACTGGTGTATAGTTGATGTATTTATTTTAAATTACACTCCAGTAAAAACATTTGGAGTATATTATACTCCAATAAAATCATTTAAAAATACACAAAATTTTAAAGTGATTTTTATTGGAGTATAGTTGCTTTACGATGTTTGTTAGTTTCCACTGTGCAGCACAGTGAATCAGCCATATGTATTCATATAGCCTCTCTTTTTTAGATTTCCTTCCCATTTAGGCCACCACCAGGCACTGAGTATCTGCTAATTTCTTTCTGTCTTTTCGGGAGAACCAGGAGAGTAGCTGCGGGGGTCAGTGAGGTTGACTGCTTTGCAGATGATTTTATTTTGGTCTTGGTAGCTGTAGGGGGTCTGTTTGGCCCATGCTGAGGACTTTCTATTTGCTTCTGGCTGGTCTGTCCCCAAGGTGTCCAGTGCCAAGAAGGCTCAGGGAAGTGCATTCTTGGGGTTGGAGGTCGTCTTCTTCTATGGCTGAGATAGGCGTGGGCTGCCACCCCATTCCTATTGTTTTCTTCATCTGGAGACTCTTCTTCTCCCTCCCCCACTTCATAATGGCCTCAGCTCAAACGCCCCTTCCTCTGTGAGCACCCCAAAGAAATGAGATCCTTTGTTCTCTAACTCTTAGCTGTTTCATTTATCTTCACAGCCCTTGTCATTATCTGAAACTGTACACAGAGGGGTATGTGTGTTTTCCTGAGAGGCCCTTTAATGAGAAACCACAGTGTGGTCAGCGGGGGAAGGAGAAGGTGGGATGATTTGAGAGAACAGCATTGAAAACACACACGTTACCACATGTAAAACAGATAACCAGTGCGAGTCTGATGTATGAAGCAGGGCACCCAAAACGCGCTCTGTGACAACTTGGAAGGATAGGATGGGGAGTTGTTCAGGATGGAGGCGACATGTATATACCCACGGCCTATTCATATTGATGTATGGCAAAAACCACCACAATGTTGTAAAGTAATTATCCTCCAGTTAAAAGAAATGAATTAAAAACAAGAAACTGCAGTGCGCTGGGTGGACACAAACCCTACTAATCCCTGGGGAAGAGAGGAAGCCCTGGCAGAGCAGCATGGCAGGGCCTCCCGATGATGCACAGTGGGGAGGCCAGGAGAGAACTAGCTTGGCTGTAACTCCTCTACTCCTGAGGTACCAGCTGCTTCTGTTGTAGGGGGATGCTGGGTTCAACTTCAAAGGTTCTGGAACTTGTCAGTGAGGCACAGCATGGCCAGAAGTTGACCTTTAAGGTCGTCTATTTCTGCAGCCTGGGGCACTGAGGGCCACACTCTGCTCCAGGGAGCTGCTGCTTCCTTTCCTATCTTGGGGATGGATAAGTGATCCTTGGTTACTTGGGGGTAGGGACCCTTTGGACTTGATGCTTCCCTGGCCCATGGCTAAGAGCTATGATTTCCCTGGAACTTGGTGGGCCTTGGAATTGGAGTCCTCACTGTTATTCCTCTACAATGCATGTACAGGTCAGATGGCTCCAGATTCTTTGCTGAATATTGGTCTTTTCCCTTCCATTCATCCATCCATCTATCCAGATTTCCTTGTTTATCTGCCTGAAAAAAGGGACTTTATCTTGCTGTCCACTGCATCTCTAGTACTTATATGTTAGATGAAAATATCTGTCAATAGGTGAATAGATAGATGGATGGATAAGGACCCTCATTTAACCAATTTCTCACTTAGCTTGAAGCAGCAGATTATTTGCCTTCCTTGGCCTGTCTGTCCAGACCTCTCTCCAAGCTTCTTATGTCCTTTGGACCTTTTTTTTCTTTCTGTGACTGAGCTCTGAGTGGCATGCAGGATTTTAGTTTCCCAATCAGGGATTGAACCCATGCCCCCTGCAGTGGTAGCATAGAGTCTTAACCACTGGACCACCAGGGAAGTCCCCTGTCCTTTTTGAATTTTGCTCATGTCTTTCTTCAGCCTTGAGCTCATTTCTACCACCAAGATCCCCTTCATTCTTCAAGACTGGTTTGAGGTGGGGCCCTTCTGTACCATGCCAAAATTTTCAAATCTGAAGTCATCTGCGTATGTACCACACACACACTGCTTTGAGAGAAGTGTCTGCCTTGTTTATTACTGTGTCCCCAGCAGGCATCACCACCTCGATGGACATGAGTTTGAGTAAGCTCCAGGAGTTGGTGATGGACAGGGAAGCCTGGTGTGCTGCAGTCCATGGGGTCACAAAGAGTTGGACACAACAAAACGCCTGAACAACAACAATAGCAACATCCAGGTTCAACCACAGTGAGGTGACAGGAGCCCGGGTCCCGGAGCCAGCGGACTGGATTGAGGCTGACGAAATCAATGAGGACCTCTGAGGAGCTGCNGCTAGAGTATGGAGTCCGGAGAGTCAGACACGACTGAGTGACTAACATTTTCACTCTTTTCTTCAAACAGAGCCAAGGACTGCTCTGTACTGCGATCGCTTGACTGCTCTCGATCCTGTACCAGCCGTGTACACAGCCCTCAAGGATTTTCCTAGCATCAGACACAAGACCTTGTTTCAAAGTCCCTGACAGTCTACTAGGACAGCCAGCCCACGGGGAGCCACTGCCCAGCTGAGGTGGCCAGGTCCTTACCTGTCACGTAGTTCTTCAAGTCCAGCTCATTGCTGAGAGGATTGTTGCTCTTGAACATGTACAGGTTGAAGGGGGCCGGCTCCCTGCCCACATTTTTCCACATGGTGTAGTCTGGAGAAGTCCATCGTCCCGCCAGCACGTCATAATCACGCTGTGTGAAGTGGACCAGCTTGGTGAGGGGATCGTAGAGTCCCCCGTGGAAGCCAATGACCATCTGGAAGTCAGGGTTGGAGTCGTAGTAAATCTCCCCGTAGGCAGTGTACTGCAACTGCTTGATCATGAGACCATTGATGCTGAACACAGCCAGGGGAGTCCCCGTGTTGTCCGAGGCAACATAGTACTCCTCTCCACTGCTGCTCTCCATGGCAAAGAGGTGCCCCTGGAGGTCATAGTAGAGCGAGGTTATCTCCGAGTTGGAGTGATTGTAGACATGGGTGATGCGAGTCGGGTTGTGGAGGTCGGAGTAGAAATACTGCAGGTGGTGGCCCAGGTTGGTCTTGTATGAAGCCCGCCGCCCCACGCCATCATAGCGGTATTGGACGCTCCAGCCACTGGCCTTGTTATAAGCCCTCGTTAGGAGGCCCTTGGAGTTGTACTCAAAGATGTCAGCCCCTCGCTGGCACAGATAGCCATCGTCGTCGATTTTGTACTGCACGTCGCCGAGCCTGGTTATCCGATCCCGGAGGTCGTAGCGCAAGGGCATGAGGCGCACACTGTTCCCCGGGTTCAGCAAGTGGAGGTTCCCGTTGAGGTCGTAGCTGTAGCGCCAGGTGGGGCGGTCATTGACGGCCACACTCTGGAGCTGCCCATCCCCATCGTAGTCGTAGGTATACTTGGTGGTGTTGGCGTAGGGCCCCAGTTTCAGCTCCCTCTTGATCACCCTGCCCATGCTGTCATACTGCACTGTCATCCAGTACATGAGGGACCGGAACATCTCGTACTGGACTTCCTTGATCCGCCCGTGGGTGTCAAAGTGTTTGCTCAGGGTCATCACGGCCGTGGTGATGATCTGGTTGATGTCATAATAGATGACCCCGAACTTGCCAAAGTGCTCCACTTTGCCGGAAATCTCATCGTAGCGGTAGAGGTCAACAGGAAGGGGAGTCTCACTTATGACGGGCTTGATGCTGGCGATCCGGAAGCTGTTGTCGTGATAGGTGTATTCAAACCTGGCGTTGACCATGCCTTCCTCAGAGAACCTGTAGATCTGCTTGTCCACGAGCGGGCCGATCTTTCGGTACCTGATGGTGCAGGAGAAGCCCCCACTTTGGAGGTTGACCATTTTTAGGACGCCGGTGGTCTCATCATACCCGAAAGTGATGGCAGTGCTGTCGTAGACAATCTCTGACAGCTTGGAGAGCTTCCCATACTTGTAGAATACCTGGCGTCCAGTGCCCAAAAAGGATGTCTTCAGGATGCGGCCATCGTCACTGTAGTCAAAGATGACTGAAGCGTTGCTTTCAGGTGGGTTGTAAGTGTTGCGGATATAGCCGATGGAGGTGTGGGTGGACATGCTGTGCCGGGCGACGCTGGGCATGGTGACGGCGTGGAGGCGCTCGGAGGAGTCATACTCGAATATGTACTGACGCTGACTCTGCAGCAGGAGCACCATGGACTGGAGGAGGAAAGGGGAAGGGAACACATGAGTTAGCCATTTAGGACCCAGTGCTCAAGTGGACAGAATTTGTTCCATGTCCCTAGATGGCAATTCAAAAGCTGTGAAGGATGGGGAGATTTACATCAGAGATTCGGGTGAATTGATGTCATGGGGCATGCTACTCTATGGATCATGGCAGCTAGAGGAGTGCTCCCCAAACTTTAATGTACGTGTAAAACACCCAGGGATCTGGTGAAAACACAGATTCTGATTCTGCAGTTCAGTGTGAGAGGGCAGTGGGGAGGTGGCCTGTGAGTCTGCTTTGGGAATATCCCAGGTGATGCTGGTGTTGCCTGGACCATACTCGGAGTTGTAAGGGGTTTGAAGGACTGAGATGAGAGGCACTGGGTTCGCCTCCAGGCTCAATGACAAGATATCCTGAGACTGGTGAGAAATGACTGCTGCCGGCCCGGCAGGGGACAGGTATGATGCACATACTATGTTTGGGGGCACCCCCGACTAAGTCTCAACACAAAGCACATCCTTCATTTAGAAGCCACTGGAAAGATTAACCTGGAATCAGTGATTCTTTGGGGGGAAAAATGGCCTCCGACTTGAAGCCAGGGGGAGATTCTTGACTTCCCTGATCGACCATTCTAGTATATTCTGTCCTAATGAGAACAGTTTTGAGAAGGGACCAAATAGCAGCCGCTCTTACAGAGGACGTAACAGCTCTGTCTGCAAGTGACCGCTGTCATCAGGAGGCAAGAAGGGAAGAAATGGGAATGGGCTTGTGTGGAGGTGAGTCCAGGTGAGAGGCCCAGGCTAAGCAAGCCCCTGTCTAATGATACAAGACCAAGGCAGCCTTTAAAAGTCTTGACCCCCCTCCCACAAGGGACCTCTTTTTAACAGCTGCTCCAACCTGACCTTTTCTGACATGGAAACCTGAGTCTGGCACTTTGAGACACAGGGAATTATGTAGCAAGGGTCTGTTGACTGCTTCAGCCAACTAAGCCAAGTAGGAGGGGGCTGCTCTGTGTGCTGGAGTTTTAGGCAGAGTTCCTACCCTGATGGCTTAATTCCAGGCATGGCAGAAATGAATCACTGCATTTCCAATTCATAAGGAATGATGAACCGTGCTGCTAGTGACATGATTCTGTCCACTTCAACAGCACTTTTTTGGGGGAATAAAATCAGACCATCCATTCTTTTCACCATTACTGAGTGTCTAGCAGGGTTTTTTTGCTGTTGATGGTAGTAGTGCTGGGCTATGAATAACATTTTCCTTGGGATTTCCTCCCTCCCAGAGGGTGGGAGTACGTGGGGAGCCTGGTAGAGTCAAAGTAAAGATGTTAAAACGTCTTACAGCAAAGTGCATCAGGTCAGCTTAAAAAGAGCAGTGTGAATGAGAGAGACAGCCGCAGCTGAGCAAGGCAGCATGTCCACCCACCTTGTCAAGGTAGGAATAGCTCCACACCTTCCCGTCGGCAAACATGCGGGACACGATCCGGCCCTGCTTGTCGATGTCCGTCCTCTCGCTCATGGCCCCACGCTGAAGGCCAGCCAAGCGCCCATTGAAGAAATAGGAGACGTTCACGGCCGCCAGGCCACTGCTGGGGAGCCAGAGGAAGGGGCGGCCCACTTGGTCATAAATGATCCTCAGGGTGAACTTCCGGTGATCATCATAGATCTTCTCTGTCCGAATATTCCGGTCATAGTCGATGGACAAGAGGTTTCTTCCATGGACCTAGGAAAACACAATGTGCCTACTTTGAAAGATGTCACGGGGCAGGTTAGCTCAGGTTGCTATGGAGGATGTGGCTGGTGTGGCCAGGGCTTGTGTGTGCTTTAGGGGAAGAAATACTCTTGAGGCTATTTAGGGAAGTGCTTCCTAAACGCCTTTACATCATAGTACACACAGGAAACGGTAGTTTTTGGAGCATTCACTAGAATACAGAAACCAGGCTGCTTATGGCTGGAAATGACTGATTGGGCATGGCCACCAGGAACAGTTATATAGGCTGTACACTGCACAACTGAGGAGTGCCATCGTGTAGACCATGTAAATGGTGAAATTACATGGCCATCCACAATAGCCCTGGATCCCAGGGTTCTGACTGTCCTGCCTGGCCACCTTGGCTAACAGGAGAATTTGTATATTTACACACTTAGCACCCTTTTCAGGCATGTCATCAACTAATGGGTAGCTAATCATCTTTGAGAGCAGGTGCCAAGATTTGTTCCAAAATCTTAAGGAAAAGGTATCCAGGAAGGTGAGGAGAAGCTCTTAGAAATCCACGTTTTACCAAGATCTGGGAATACGAAGCCTTATTCCTATGTGAAATCCTTTAATTCTCCCACCTAGAGAAAAATCTTGCCATTAACAAGGATGCAAGACACCAGTGGGATGATAGCAACAGGGCTGGGGAATTCCAACAAAGGGAAGAACTGATTCACTTAAATTTGAAAGGAATTATCCAGATATAATTTAATATTTATTTAGCAGTTGATCTGTTTAGAGAAGAGAGCCTCTCTCAGAAGGCAGAGCTGAGAGACTAGACTTGGTATGGGGACATGAGAGGGACTCCAGAGATTCAGCTAGCCTGGAGTGGATGCCTAGAATTGAAGGGAATGAGGCCAACTCAGCCCAGGCTCTTTCAACATAATTGACTGCAAATCTGCACATCCCTGGGGTGACTGCTGAAGGCAAGAGAAGGTATAAACATGCAGAAGGAAAGGATGTGAGAGATGTCTGGTACCTCCCCACCTTATACTAATAATTCAATAGCACTTAATGATAATAATGATAGTAATACTAACTTTGACACATGTTCAGAGCCAGTCTATATAGGCATTATCTTGGGCAATTTACATCCACTGTTGGAGCTGATGCTCACAAATGAGGAAACTAAGCCTCGAACAGAGATTATACACTTGCCCAAGGTCATGCAGCAATGAAGTGGTAGGTTGTCTGGGACTTAGGTCTTTAGACTTTGACCAGTTAACCAACCAGCTCTACTATTTCCCACACTGTTTATATTGGATATGCATTGAGTGTCCTGAGATGTGTTAAATGACTGTAAAGCATTGCCACAGCCCTTGAAGGGTTCCACATTGCAGCTTTGGTGGGGGCACTAGAAATAATTCTAATATGACAGACACCTGTTATACTGGGTAGCAGGACTTTACCCAGGTAAAGAACTACACTTCACAGCTTTCTTGAGACTTGGGTATGGGTAAAGTGATTTAAGTAGTAGTAATTGGCTGGGTCTTCTGGGAACCTTGAATGAAAGCAGATATAGCCAGGAAGCAAGCACCCCTTTTGTTCTTCCTCCCTCCTTTCCTTAGGTGGAATGTGGATGTGATCACTGGTGCTCCAGTATTCACTTTGTGAATATGGGGTGACTTTGAGGATGTTAAACCTCAAAGATAATGGCTCATCCAGAGGGTCTTGATCCCTGTCAACCTAGGTGTCTTCAAGATGACCTAGGTCATCTGTACCAGCCATGAATTGCTTACCCCTAGGAGAAGGGAATGGCTACCCACTCCCAAGTATTCTTGCCTGGAGAATTCCATGGAAAGAGGAGCCTGGCAGACTACAGTCGATGGAGTCATAAAGAGTCAGACATGACTGAGTTACTCACACTTTCACTTTTCAGACTCCTTTTAGATCATAAAAATAATGTCTATATCTTGTATAATCTCCTGTTATTTCTAATCTGTTACCAGCAGTTGAAGCTAATCTAAACTGACAAAAGTCCCTGATGCTTTGACAGATACTATGTTAAGTACTTTACATACTTGATTCCATTTTATTCTCACACATAGGTAAAAATTATTTTATATATGGGCATCTAAGCTCAAGGGGGTCACATAACTAAAGAAGTGCCAGGATCTGAGCCCAGGACTACCTGATTCCCCAAACCATTGCTGTTTTCATGAAATCATCCCAGAGAAAAGGGGACAGAACATATGAGATAGAACATTTATCTAAAGCATACAAAGAGAATAAAGGTGTGGGTTCTTGGGATTTCAGGGAAATCCAACTTTAAGTGGAAGATTCACATCATCAAACCTGCAGTAACTGGAAGAATCCAAAAAAGGAGTGAGTATGGCAGGATATTTCTAACATGTCCAAAAGTTAATGCTGTAAGAATCATTGAAGATGCTGAAGATATGGTATTAGAGTTTTCATAACCAGAGCGAACCACAAGCTTGGGTTAGAAAGATCACTTCCTCTGGGAACAGAAATTTGGGACAAGAGCAGCAGAAGGCCACCAATATGCTTAAGCCTATTGTCTAAGAATTTCAGTTCAAGACCTCATTGGCATTTTATTTGGCAGAATGAAACACATGGCAACAGTGAGGAAGGATTTTCAGGATTTCCTGAGCCACCTGTACCTATGTATTTCCCACTTCCTCTGTCATCCTTCCATTCCTTTCCTTACTTTTTTCCCCTTTGTTTCTCTTCACTAATATCACACAGCCCCCAGGGCATTTATACAGATTAAACATTACATCTCTGCCGATGTCAAGCATGGTGCCTGCTCTGGAATGGAAGGAGGAACACCACCAACAAAGCAACATGTCCTGAGAACTTCGTGATGGGCTTAGTATGTTCTCAGCACTGCCCATGTTTTTCTTGTTTACTCCTCACAACACTCACAGGCAGGCACTGTCATCCCCATATTACATGCAAGGCACAGACGGTTCAAGTGCTGTGCTCACGCTTACACAGCAAGTGTTGGGGCCAGGATCCCGATGCTGAGCTCGCCACCTCCACCCCAGGCTGTACCGCCGCCCCCCGCTCCCCCACCCCATGGATGGCTCTCCATCAGATGTGCGATTCTGTGCTCTCAAAGCACGGCTGCTGCACTGACTCCACCACTGCTGAACCAGCCTCCCAGGGAATCGAAGCTGGGCGATTCTGATGAGTACTACTGGCTAAAATACTTGGTGTGCCGTAAGGCTCTATCTTCAGTTACCTGGGGGAGACCAACGGGCAAATCATATGTCCATAATATAATCGTGTGTGTATGCATGGAAGTACAGTGCTATAACATGTATTCATGGGGGATACTAACATGTAAATCATATGTACCAGCATGACTATCATAGTAACAACTATAATAGTATATGAAGGTGTTGAGAATGCAGAAAAAACAGAATAGTGGGCAAGCACAGAAGAGGGTTCCCAAACCTCTGACTGCTCCATCTGGGTTTGCTGCTGTTACTGAAAAGCTAAGGAGGCCCAGGTACACCAACAATAAAAAAGTAATAGGTGCTAACCATTCAGATCAGTTTAGTTCAGTTGTGTCTGACTCTTTGCGACCCCATTAGCCATTGATGATTCAGGGTGGGATTTTATTCCCAAATTCATTATGTTCTGGGGATGGGATTTTGTTTTAGAGCTAATTTGAGATTTTCCTCTGTTTACTGAGATAATTGGGCTTCCCTGGAGGCTCAGACAGTAAAGCATCTGTCTGCAATGCAGGAGACCCAGGTTCTATCTCTGGGTCAGGAAGATCCCCTGGAGAAGGAAATGGCAACCCACTCCAGTATTCTTGCCTGGAAAATCCCATGGACAGAGGAGCCTGGTAGGTTGTAGTCCATGGGGTCACAAAGAGTCAGACATAACTGACTGTCCTCACTTCACTTCATTGAGATAACTGATATACCTCATTGTGTAAGTTTAAAGTGTACAGCACAGTGATTTAACTTACATATATTATGAAATGATTACCACAATGAGTTAGGTTAAATCCATCATCTCACATAGATACAAAAAAAAAGGGAAGAGTCTTAGGATTTACTCTTTACACCTTTCTTGAAAATCAGTGATTTTTATGTTTATTTTTAAAGTTAAGATCAAATTGAAACAACTAAAAAGCAAAAGAAAAAAACAAGATCAAATTAACATACAGTATTCTATTAGTTTCAGGTATACAACAGAATGATTCAATATTGTATGTACTGTAAAACAATCAGTAAGTCTAGTTAACATTGGTCACTGTACACAGCTGTGAAATACTTCTTGTGATGAGGACTTCTAAGATTTACTCTTAGCAACTTTCGAATATGCAATACAGCGTTAACCATAAACACCATGCCGTACATTACAACTCCGTTACTTATTTAAGTGGAAGTTTGAGTCTTTTGACTCCCTTTCCTCATTTTGTGCCCCCCAACCCCTTACCACTGTCAACCACCAATCTGTTCTCAGTAACTTAATCTTTTTTTTTTTTTTTTTGAGATTCCATATATAAGTGAGATCATACAGTATTTGTCTTTTTCTGTCTGCCTTATTTCACTTCACATAATGCCTTCGAGGTTCATCTGTATCACAAATGGCAATATCTCATTCCTCTTTTTTTGGCAGGGTCAGAATAATTTTCCAGTGTGTGTGTGTGTGTGTCTGTATGTATATCACATCTTCTGTATTCATCCTTGATGGACACTTAGGTTGCTTCGATGTCTTGGTTTGTTGTTCCTATGCTGCAGTGAATGCTGGGGTGCCTATTTTGTTGGCATTGTGTTTTCATTTTATTCCTATATATATCCAGTAGTGGAACTGCTGGATCATATGGTAGTTCTATTTTTAATTGTTTTATTTTTGAGGAAGCTCGATACTATTTCCACAGTGACTGCATCAATTGACACTCCTACCTTTTTTTTTGAGATTCCATATATAAGTGAGATCATACAGTATTTGTCTTTTTCTGTCTGCCTTATTTCACTTCACATAAT